GGGGGTTTGTATCGATGCACCCCCTGGACTATTTTCATCGTTCGCGGAATTTCCATGTTACGAGCGGCTAACCTGCTCCGTCTATTGTCGCACTCGTGCAGGCGCGGTGCACTCCGTTGGGCTCCCCTTCGAACTGCGTTTCGGAAGGGCGAGGATTATCCCGTTGAAAGCAACGGTGTAACGTTTAGTTTCCGTGGTATGACGGAATTATCGATCGACAACGGTAATATTTTTGGGTTATGTCGGATAGAGGTTAAGCGTTTCGCGGAGGCGAAAACGTGATCCGAATTCAACTATGGCACGTGATCATGACGAAAACGAGTCGGCCTAACACGTGTCCTCGTGGGTGAAAGCCATGGGTCGCGCCGTGGCCTGTAAAATCCTAATTATAATAGTGTATCAGTACGTGGTCTACGAGCGGGTACAAAGTCCACGAGAAATGTGTTTATTGAAATATTGAAATTTGACGCGCCATATGGCATTGACCCGTATCGGCTAGTTACGTCTTAAACGCGTCGCGCTTGTTCGTATTGACCCTAATTTTTTACACGGATTATCACCTGCCTGGTCGAACGAAAACAAACGTTTCTTGCACGGCGTCGTCAGGCAAAGTCTCGCGTGCGACAACTACGTCCGTGGAAGCTCCTCAAGCGCGATATCGAACTTTTATCGCGATTCGGAAAACTGGCGGACTTTCCAGAGGAAAGGATTCGACGAAGCTGAGTCACCGTTGAGCGCCTCGCTGACTCGTTGCTTCCCCGTCGATTATTATAGTCGCAGGGGTATCGAATGGAAGAAAAGAAGACAGTAGCGCCGATCCGCATGCGTTTAGAGGGGCGATCCTCGGACGCGTATCATTGGCGCCGATAAACACGGGCGTTATGCAACGATTCATTGCTCTCTGACGTAACGCGAGCATAAAGCTAGGTGGAGAGGATGGTAAAAACGTATCGGCGGTTACAGAGAATAGACCGCGAAACATCCATTCGCGACGCGTAGCCACGCGCAGTTCGCGTGATCGTGCATAGAGGCAGCTTGAAAAATCCCGCGAGCACCCCGCCATTTTCTAATTTCCTATCGAGCAATCGCGCTTGGACGTCGGTCCACGCGACGATTAGAGGTTCCGGCGACACTTGGACTCCTCTTATCGTCCATCGTCCTATCGTCCAGACGTAGGCGGGCGAAAAATTAGACGCCAATAACCCCGGTCAGCAATTCGCCTGACCAAAAGCGATAGGGTATTTTTCTCGTCTGCAGTTTAACGCTCCGATCCGCTTGTAGTTTATTCGATCATGTCCGTAATCGGATATACAGTCGGAAAAGGGTAGCGCATAGGTCGACTTCTCGTCGAAGGTATTTGTTAAACGCGAATGACCATGACGTAACGAGGTCTTGGGAGCGCTAGTGCGCAAATACTGCGAAACGATTGATTGGCAAACTAGGAATTTGCAATTCATCAGAAGCCAGGCGGACACAGGAGCGCTAAAATCCCTCGGTCCAACCACGGCTCGTGAATTAGTCACGAGGAACGAAGCGAACTTCGATGCTCGATTTAGCGTTAAAAAGTAGTTTTACTTTGCCGGTCATTTCGCGCCTAGCGCCGTTCTCCGGTTGTTCCACGGGGTTTCATAATCGATCGATGTCAAGGAGTTGTCTCGACTGTAGAGTTTACTGATCAAAGATCATTCAGACTCTCGTAGATTCGGGTCGCGTGGCGTGCGACAAAATACCATTACTTAATTAAGAAATGCCGGTCAGTCTTGCGTATTTCTTTTCAAGTCGGACAGGGACTAAACACGATGATCGGATAACGACTATTGACATTTATTTACGACATTTTGCAGTTATATTTGTCCTAGCGTGACTCGGCGTCTGTAGAAGAACAATTGCTAATGCGAATGCAGGAACGTTGGCCTGGTGTTAGTCATCGAGGCTTTAAGGCCGCTTAGAAATTCGTCAAAACGTTTGTTCCTTAATCTTATCTCGCCCTGTTTTGCCCATTCCACGCGATAATCTATCGGTTCTGTAGGTCGTCGTTGCACGAATCGTGAGTTCGAGCCGAGGAAGGAGTATAGTTGGATAACCGAGTGACTCTTTTGAATCGTTTTTCCTTTTGTTCGGGGTTTTCCCGGCGACGATGAAACTATAATTTCGAGAGAATAAAGTCGAGTTGGAAAATGGAACGAAAATCGTAGGTCTCTGCCAGATTCTCGAGATTTGGAACACGATTTTGTCCCATCGATTCGTTTCTGTCGCTACGTATATGTAACCATGCTAGGAGCTACGTTCTATACGTCATTATGATATATTATGGTAATCTCCTTTGCTGATATTATGGTAATCGCGATCCTTCTTACTTCACGCACCAGCCGTATTATGTAACGGTTAGATACGCAAATTAATACCGTGTTATCGCGTCTATTATTAAGTATTAATTCAGTGTTTTCCTATTTCGTGTTATCGGGTCATTTTTTACACTCCTGAAGACGCAATTATTTCGTGGTTCGAGGCTGTTACCAATAAAATCGTGTCCCTATCATTATCCGTAATTAACGCGAGCCCAGACTGTTCTGAGAAACATGAAAAACAAACTATCGAATCACTTCGGATAAACGTTTTTTTCCGGGAACAAGTGGAAGTTACACGCGACGCCATCGTTTCGACCACAACGTCGCCGGAACGTGCCATCTTCGTCGTTTCCACGAGCTCCATTCTTCGTGGAAGGTTACTTTTCCATCGAATCTTCGATAAAACGCGATAAACACGCGTGCGTGCGGTCTGTTCGAATCAACAACGGAATTTTGGCAATTTTTCGCGACCTTACTTTTTCCTCCTGATCTTCCGTCACGTGCGAATTCGTGCCGTTTTGCGCACCGATTTCGCATTCTCGGCACGCGTATCATCACGGAGGACGAATTACGGACGCAGCAGGTAAGGCGATATTGCGAGACCTACGTAGAAAATACAATTGGCGAAATGCCGAACTCGAACTCGTTCCATAAAAATACAGGAAGGGAAGAAAACGGAAAAATATTCCGCGGAAAATGCCACGATCTTCCGATACGCCGTAGTGTGGTAAAAGGATCGGGTTCACAGAGATTTAACTTCAACCCTTTGCACTCGACGATTTTTTGGCTAGAGAAGAGTAGAAAATCAAAGATTCTCTATTGAAAAACTGGCGATACTTTTTGGAGCAGTAAATAAAGAACTGTATAATAATAGAATTGCAGAATTACTTGATTTCGATACCTTGCACGCTGTTGCATTGCATTAAATTTGATATATTAATTAATATCGATCTTCCAAATTTTATGAAATGGTCACTGTGAGGGTCATTTCTCGAGTGCAAAGGGTTAAACTTTGATTATATTTTATTCTCATGCGGTACAAGTGTGCGATGGTTTGAGTCTTGTACGATGCATGATGCAGACGGTGGATCGTCGAAAGAGTGCGTGTTTCCTCGAACCCTTCGGCCAGGTTCTCATAGGCCCTATGAGGACTCACTGCGTCACTCAGTCATGCGTCGAAAAGTGATAATCTTGATGGTCCCTCGATGTAAACATAGCTATCGATGCAGGGTGACGCCATCCAAATAAAGACTCCTCCTCACCGTAGATACAACAAGCGCCGTTTGATTTTCCTCTCATTTCAATGGAACAATTCGCGCCAATTGCGTCAGGTTTCTTTTTGCCACGTGTCGAGACGAAACGCAGCTCCCGCCATCGCGGTTCTCGTTATCTCGTGTTTAATTAATTGCGTCGCTGGTGCTGTTATCGTGCCTGAACTTGCAGACCTTTATTGCCTTACTCGTTACCTTACGACCATAAACGCTAAGTAGTAGATAGGCTCTTCGCACAGGTAAGAATACGGTTAGGCTCTTTGGAAAATAAAAGTGCTCCCTGTTGCGATTACCACTCGAGTGGAGGTCGGTTAAAGATAACTGCAGGGAGGATTAGTAACGAGGCTCGAAGCAAAAGCTGCGACTTAAATTGGAATTAATTTTCGACAAAAGAGTTTCGAAATTTTTATCTATAGGATGTCACCACATTCTACCTTCCAGGTTTAACGTCTTCGTTGTTACTCGAGAAATGTTTTACATAAATTTGAATGATTTCGAGGGGGACGCATTTTGATGATACTAGTTAAATGAGGATTGTCGTGTAAACTTACGAAGGTCATTGATGCTTTTTTAAACGGAATTATGTGCTTTTTGTTACATCA